GGGGGGGGGGGGGGGGGGGGGGGGACCGTAAAGGTTGCTACGCCTCACCAAGGATCTACAAGCTAAGTAAACTGGCGTGCTGCTTCTCGGGAAACAAGAAGCGAGCAAGTTTTGCCATGCATCCTTGGTAATTACCGTCTCTTTCCCTTTTCGCGCGAGTCGAGCGGCTCCGTCGAAAAAAAAAGGAAAAGAAAAGGAGGAGGAGGAAGGAAAGGTGAGTGTGAGGGGGATGTGGATAAACAATGTTGATGTGGAAGAGGAAGAAAAGAGCGATGATTAACGACGGGATCAACGATGATCGAGAGCGGGATGCATCAAAGCTTCTTGCTGGCAGCTCCCAGCGAGACAAACACCACGATCAGATGTATACCAAGTCGTTATGGGCCCCTTCACTCCACGTCGCGTATGTGAAAGCTCAGTAGATGATAGCCGAGCTCACGATCTCTCTGCAGTACCACGTACATGGTAAGTGCTGTTGTTGTGTGTGTGTGTGTGTTGTTGTTGTGTATCTTCGCCACCTGATCTGCCAGATACGATATTACCGACTGGAGAAGACCGTCTTATTCTTCCCTTGCTTCATCTTCCGCTTCTCGTCAACATGACGCTCTCGCTCAACCTAGGCGACAGAAAGGAAATACTGAAACGAGTTATCGACTCTGTTACTTGCTAAATTCACATCGTCGCCGGGTCCCGTACGTCTGTTCTATGGGGACCATATGGGTCCCCGCCCCCTTCTCTTGGTCAATCAATTCCCCCGTAATGAAGCAACAGTATGTGTACAGATTACAGAGTACTGATATCACTACTCCGTACAGATGACAGATTACTCGTAATACAGTACGGATTATGTAGTGTGTATAGTATGTAGGCTCCGCCCTCCCTTGTCCCTTGTCACGTCACTTGCAGCGTAAACTGCAACAGGGTTGACGGGGGGGCCAAAGGAGAATATATCCGAGATATGACGGCATGATAGAGTGATAGGAGAGAGGTGCTTATGCTGTAACCATCTTGTCAGTCTATCCACATGCGGGATCTTTCGGGGTGCATGCGCATTATTGATATACCTACGTATACAGGTATATAGTACAAGCCAAAAGTACATGGTTGTATGTACTACTTGGCAACATTCGAAGCCGCAACACCAACGGACTCCGAACCCGGTATTACACGTAATTAACGACACAGGGAGAGAGAGGGAGAGAGGAAGACAGAGAGAGAGGGAGAGAGAGAAGAGCTGTACAGCAGCCGCTCCAAGCGCCCAGAAAGGACTGGGACTTTATTTTGTACACATTCTGTCTCTGACCCACCCATGTCATGTCCCAAGGAAATTCGACCAAGGCTGGCTTTTCCTTCCTTTTTTTTCCCTCCATTTTCTGCTATACGAGTAGTAGAGCATGTGCTGTATTGCCCATCCTTTCCTCTTTTTCCTCCCTCGCAGCAGGCGGGCCATGCCTTGACCCCGCCTGTCCGCACGCATAGAGTCCGAAGGTGGGTTCTCTTTGTCGGGGGGGGTTTTTTCTTCGTCGTTCTTTTCGTGTGTCCTGACTCCTCCACGATCTAACCCGCGCCGTCGGTTGGATCGTCGTCTCGTCTGTCGAGAGGAAGATGGAGAAGGAAAAAAAGGAGAAGAAAAGGTTAAACCTGGGGAATGGCTCTCGGTGTCGAAGTCGTGCGGGAGGTACATGTCGTGAGTTGTCAAGTAGTCTTGCACGATATATAGGTACGGCTTCGATACATGCAGTATCTGACAAAACACACAAAAGGCTAGCACCAGGCTGTAGTGGTGCCTGACACCAAAACTCATCTTCACTACCAGAGTTCACCATGCTCCTGGTCTTTTTGAGTTGTTGGAGGCGGCTACGTCAGAATGCGACGCTCTTGTAGATACATGTACGCATTACGTCGGGTAAGCCGTGACTGCGGCGGGACTCAGTCAGCTGAACTCATTCGAGAGAAAGGCGCTCCTGGTTCTGTCATGTGATGATATTTAGTAGCTGTATCGCAACATTTCTACTCCTTTCAGTCTTCCGTCTTCTCTTATCTCTTCACTGCCATGAGGAGACATACATCACCTGGGATTGATTTGATGGCTTCAAGGTTGTCAGTAGAGCTGCGGTTATGTACTGTACCCATCCACAACAAGATTCTTAACTCGACCATGTTCAGTTATTTAGGCCAAGTATGAGAAGGGAATTTTCTTCTTCTTCTTTTCTTACAAACACTCCATTCTGCCTATCCATCCTCTACTCACATTCACGACTTACGAGTACAACCCGTGGCAGCACGCAAAAGATGCGAATAGTACGGAGTATGTGGCACCCAATATTATACATGACTAAGCAGTCAGAAGCTGCTGTCACACTCACATCTGTAGATAACCTCATATATTGTTTTCCTTTCCTTCTGAAAAATCAAGCACCAAGACACGCACTCATCGATCCATGGCGTACCGGTAGGCAGAGGCCACTGTCTGTACTCGCGTCTACGGGTCATCGTGGGTGGTCGCCAGCAGGAAGCACGAGGATATGGCTATAGGGTAAGGCTAAGCAATCTACGGACCGTGCTCTGCGTCCACAGCTTGCCATCGCGTATTATTATTAGGCAGCGAGTGGTGTGCTCTTTCACGAGATCCTCAATCCGTATCATTACCATTCAGACTGTAGCACCACTCTACTATTGACAACTTACTGGGTAGCAGACAGAGAGTCATATCTCCATTCACTCAGCTTTACACACACACACACATATATATATAGTCGCTGTTCAATCCAACACTGATGGCATCACTCAAGACAAAAGACTCTGGTGTCTTCTTTTTGGGCAGGTGATAGATGATAATACACCCTTGGCACCTGCCCAACTGTTCAGATCACAGGGCCCAACTTCAGGCAACCAGATGACCAGCAAAGCAGATGCCCGCCTTTCAGCTTCACCGCAATGTCGTGAACCTCCTCTTCACGTCCTCATGGCCATCACCGCCATGCTTCAACTACTACTGGGCTGGATCCATAATCGTCCATTTCTCACATCTTGCTCGACGCGACGCATCGCTACCATCGCCGGATAAACCACCTTGAATCTTTCCTACGCTGCTGCCCTTCCTCGCTTCTTACCTTGTCATCTCGCGATATCGAGGGCTGGTCATGGCCGCCATCCCGGATTTCTACCGCTCCCAGATCGGAGGCCCCTCCGTCATCAGCTACAGCTACACGGATTCGCCATGGAGACTTCTCGCCTACGACACGGCCTGCTGCATAATGTACTCGTGGGCCATGCCGTGGGTCGCCCTGCCGCTGTTCCCCTTCAAGTCGGCCAAGTTTGACGAGCTGTATCCGACGCTTCCCAACATCTGGTCCATCTCGCTCCACCTCTTCATCGCCGTCGTGCAGCTCGGGTTTCTGGTCTCGGCCCCCGCCGTCTCCACGTGGGTTCCCGCTCGGACTTTTGCCCTCGGCGTCGTCGTCTTCGTTGTGCTCAACACCCTGCTCTGTCGACTGCTCAACGGGCCCGCCGAGACGTTCCATTCGGACGAGAAATACGCCAAACCCCGTCCGGAGCATTCCCATGAGCAGTGGGTATTCATCAACGGCGTTGCGGTCGGGTATGTACCCATGCGCAGTTTTGTCTGACCGCTCTAGCTGCCTGCCGAGACGAGGCTAACCTAAGAGGCAGGAAGCATTGGATGAAGCTGAACCTGAACCGCATCGCCGTCACTTTTGGTCGTCCCGTCCTCGGAATCCATAATAAGACAGCAGGCATGATCTTCGATGTCTGGGAGTGCCTGGTCCAGCGCAACTTTGGCTACGCTACGAGCGACGTCCGCGCCACCTACAAGGTGCTCAAGGAGCTGCTGTATAACCCGGAGAAGACAAAGGTGGTGCTCATCCTGCACTCGCAGGGCGCCATCGTGGGCGGCATGTGCCTCGACTGGCTGCTCCAGGAGATACCCCAGGACATGCTCTCCAAGATTGAGGTCTACACCTTTGGCAACGCAGCCAACCACTTCAACAACCCGCACCGCCGTGCCTTCTCTCTCAAGCTGACCGACAGCTGGCCCCGTGTGGCTATGAGAACGCTCCTGAAGGAGACGAGTGTGGTCGAATCCCCGACGGCAGCCGACCGCGCTTGTTCCACGGCGGCTGACTTGGGATCTTGGAACGGCACAGCCGCCCGACCGCCGCCGCACGATCTGACCCGCGAATCCTCAGTCATCTCGTCGTCGGCCGCCCAGGACCGCGCCATCGGCCACATCGAGCACTACGCCCACAGCACCGATTTCGTCGCCATATGGGGGATCCTGCATTTTGCCACGAAGCACCCGCGCTCGCCGCTGATCCCCCGCTTCATGGGCCGCCTATTCGTCCGCGCCCGCGGCGGCCACCAGCTGTGCCAGCACTACCTGGACGGCATGTTCCCGCTCAGGCACGACCCGGTGACGGGCGAGCCCACGGGTGCCGACGAGGACAATGAGTTCATGGACGAGGTGGTCAATGTTGGAAAAGAGGGCGACGCGCCCGACAATATCCGCGAGGCATTCGACATAACGTATGCCGGCACCGACGGTTTCGGCTCCGGAGATATTACCACGCCCGTCGAGGTTCACGGCGTGACGGGGCTAGAGGATCGCCGGGCCAGCAGGAGCGTCAAGGTGCGCGAGCTGAGCCGTCTGTGGAGGTATCGGAATGGTATGAGTCCGCGTGAAACGCCGCTGTTGAGTCAGGGTGGTATGATGCGTCCTCCTACGTTCTAGCCTTAGTTTTTCCTCATTTTTCTTTTTCTCCCATCTCTCTTCCTCCATATTTTGTTCATATTCTCCCCCCCCCCCCCCCTTCTCTTTTCTCTCTTTTCCTTTTCGCCATGGTGGGATGAAGGGAAATGGGAATATTGAGAGAGAGAGAGAGAAAAGAAAGAAGAAATAAAGAAACAAAAAAAAAAAAAAAAGTCAGGGACCGAGACCAAAAGCGAAACTAGAGTCCAGGACAGCCCGAACCGGGGAAAGGGGATAGGGCATCAGCCACTAACGGCCAAGACCATTGGTCAGACCCATCATCTTCTTCTTCTTCATCATGGCCTCCTCATGATCGGCCAGCTCCTGAAACCTCCTCTTGATGGCATTGTCGACCTTGACAGGGGGAGCGAGATGGACGGTAGCGAGGGCGCCCCAGATGGTGGCGTAGGTCCAGTAGAAGAGGTTGACGAGGCCGAGGTAGATTATGGGGGCGATGGCCATGTTGTAGTTGCCAAAGATGTTGCCCCTCCTCGAGATGGTCTGCCACATGTCGCCGGTGAGGGTCTCGGCGGCGGCGGGCCACCTCCAGGGGCCGACCATGCGGAACTTGAGGGTGAAGTTTGCGCCCGAGGCCCACATCCAGGGGAGCCGGTGGCCGCGCGGGGTGACGAGGGAGAGGCGGGCGACGTCGGTGAAGCTCGGGGCCATGTCGAGGTCCTTGGCGACCTGGTACATGTAGCTGTCGTGCTCGACGCCGTACGACAGGCGCGCGCTCGGCGGCTGGATCATGCGGTAGTGCCACTCGTCTTCCGGGTCGAGCCTCTTGGTGAGGCGGCCGGCCAGCTGGGTGGCGAAGAGCATGGACTGCATCTCTGCCAGGGGCGGGATGGCGCCGAATCCGGGGCGGATGAAGCCGATGAAGCCGATGGTCGGGTCGTCGGCGCGCCACACGTCGCGGACGTCGGTCTCGCTCGAGGTCGGGTAGGCACGTCGTCCGGCGTTGTGCGGCGTGTTGAGGAACGGGAACTGCGGGACGTAGCCGGTCGCGAAGACGATGACGTCGGGCTTCACCTCGGTCTCGTTGATGAGGTCTGCCTCCGGCCGGCCGTTGCGTGGGAAGTGAGCGACGCCGTCGGGCGTGATGTGAGACGGGAACGGGGCCAGTTCGATGGTGCGCTTGGGAGGTGGCACGGCCGTGTTGAGGAAGAACTTGCGGATGCGGGTGCCTAGAGGGGTCGGGTTTGGGCGCCAGGGCGTCGACACCTCGTTGCTGATGCGCATCCAGGCCTTGTTGAAGAAGACTGAGAAGAGGGGGGGGGGTATGATGTCAGAGATGATGGATTCATGAGGTCATGGAGAAGCAAAAGAGATTAAGAGAGAGAGAGAGGGAAAGATAGATAGAGAAAGAGAAGGAAAAAAAAAAAGAGAAGATACTTACGTCTCGATGTATGGAACCTCTCGCCAAAGACTTGGCCGATATGCTGGTCGACACCTCGTGATGTTGAGCTACAGAGCCAGCAGGCAAAGGGCAGGGCGAGGACGTGGTAGGCATCCCAGACCATGAGCGAGTCGCGCACCATGGGGTGGACGTACATCGTGTCGAAGAGGGTGGACTGGCTGACGTCGATGGGCAGCTGGGGCTCCTCGAAGGGATGGTCGCCAAAGAGCCAGGGGAGCCAGCGCTGGGGAACGGCTCGCTTGGTGCCGCCGAGGAAGCCGTCCTTATGGGAGAGGATGACTCGCCTCGTCGGGGCGGTGATGGCGAGGTAGCACATGTCGGCTCCGGTCTCGCCGCTGCCGAGGACGAGGACGGTCGTGTCCTTGCCCAGCTGCTCGCGCTTCTTGATGTCCTCTGAGTGGATGGTGACGGGCACGTGCTCCAGCCCGGGTATGTCCGGGTAGTTGGCCTTGGAGTGGACGCCGGAGCAGACGGCGACGGCGTCGCACTCCCACTCCATGTCGAGCCCGTCGGGTCCCCGGTAGCTGACGACGTGCCCGCCGACGTCGCCGCGCCTGATGCCGGTCACGGCCGTCGACAGGTGCATGTACGGCCACAAGCGGAAGTGGGTGGCGTAGTCGTTGAGGTACTCGACGTAGCGCTCGGCCGAGAAGAAGTCGCCGTCGCCGGGACGGCCGCCGCCAAAGTCGGAGAAGGTGGTGATCCACTTGGACGATACCAGCTCGGCGTCCTCGTACGTATGGTGGACAAACACGCCGCCGATCCTGTCATAGGATTCGAACAGCCTGACCTCGAAGGGTTCGATGCCCTCGAGGTACTGGTGCGCCTCGAGCAGCGTCTTGAGCTGAACGAGACCCGAGGGGCCGCCACCGATCACAGCGACACGCATGCTGGACAATTGGTCTGTGAGAGCTGACCGAGACACGTCAATATATCATCAAATTGGGCCTTGAGAGAGTGTGAAGCATAGATATCTGAACCCTTGGCAGGAGAATGTGTGTGTGTGTGTGAGGTGTGAGAGAGGGACGAGAGGGAGAAAGGGGGGGGGGAGGGCGAGCGAGGGGGGCGTAAGTAAGGGATGATTCAGTTCTCCAGTTCTACTTTTCAGGTATTATGAAGTAGCAGCAGCGCCGTTGAAGTGGAATTCCCCCTCCTTCTCGCATCCGGGATGTCTGGGGGCAACGGGACTCGTCTCTCTCTCTCTCGCATACGCCACTTTTCGCCTTCCAGAGATGCGGCCGTTCAACTGAGCGGAGCCCTACCTGTACTAGACCCACCGGACCGGCAACGAGCAGAGGCATAAAAGAGGACAAGACTTCTAGTTTTGGGTTCTCCCGCCGTGGGGAACAACATCCCCCCCCCCCCCCCCAAAAAAAAGAAGGGCGACTCCACCGATACGTGGTCCGTCCGCCTGTCCATGATGTGTTGTGATGCCGCAAACTAAGGAACGGCGGCTACGTTTCCCGGTAGCCGGTGGGGTGGGCATATCTCCTCCTCTTCAAACCCGCTCCTCCCCTACTCCTCACTCTTGAGAGTGAACATCTGTACTCGTACTCGATGCCTTTTCTTCGTTTCATTTCGTCTTGGGAGAATACGATGGTCAGGGTACCGACTGCGCAGGTTCGGCTAGTAACGTGTGTAGGCGAAAGCCGGGATCGTAGACGGATGGTACCCAAAGCGGGAAAAAAACCGGGAAGCCTGGCACATGGAAGATGTAAGCTAATGCAAGCGTGTTTGCTTTCGTGGCCCATGGAAAATAGGAGGAGGGTGGCCGATCCGAGAGATGGATTGGGGGGGGGGGGGGGGGGGGGGGGGGGGGAGGGGGAAGGCGGAGCGTGGGAGCAAAGCCTATCGTGTGTCCGACGGCAACGTCTTTGATGGACACGGTGTGCTGGCTACATGTAATCTGCACAGCAGCTGCGAAGCAGGTCTCTCTTCTTTCCTCTCTCGGGCTTTTCCTCCAAGGAAGACTCACCACGACGCAAGTTATCCGGCAACGTCTAGGGTCCAGACGAATGTGCAACAGTACTCCGTACCTGAGTGACCCATGATACACGATCCACGATGGACTCTGCACTCATATCCCCCCCCCCCCCCTCTCCCTGTACGAGCGCAGGTACTCGTAAGAAATGAATGCCGTCCCGGATATCTGGGAGACCGCCGAGGACCCGCCAGCAGTGCTGTGACCAACCGGCGCCGAGTGGAATTGGCTGCCGTGTGTTTCCTCCTCTCTGCATATCAACACTCCACGGAGGAGTGCTAGCCTGCCTGCGGACGGACTGTCGGATTGTGACCGTCTTCATGGGTCCCTTGTACGCGGTATCCATAAACAGGTCAGAAGATGATGGAGATAACGGACGGAGACCACTGGAGACGGCTCCGTAACTCGCAGGCCCAGAAACTCGTAATGCACATATCATTCCGTAGGGTATCATCACTCCTTACATGACATACTCGTAATACCAAAAAGGAGAGGTCGACTGATCGAATGGAGACGCGTGGGTCCATTTGGCTATGCCTTTGTTGTTTCTGGTCTACTCTGCAGCCTCTGCTCAAAGTGACCTAGTCTCTCCCTGATCCGCTTCGTCGTGATTAACCAGGTAGATCTCGCCTCTGCTGACCAACCCGATTGCCTGGATGGAGATGGGGAAGTATTGTCTGCGGAGCCGGCCGGTTTTGTTTTGATTGATTATTTCGAATCACTACTCTCTCTCTCTCTCTCTCTCTCTCTCTCTTTGCTCATCTCTCGGTGAAATGAACAGGACAGCTCTCTGTGATGAGTTTTGGTATTAACACGAGCGGTACTTGTATTATTCTTCGACAACCAAAAGAAGACATGTAGAGTCTTTTGCCGCAAAGAAGAAGAGGGGGGGGGGGGGGGGAGAAGAGAGACCTCTGCACACTTACGGAGTAAAGAAAAAAAAAGGACAGAGACTATGCAGCCAAGTGGGACAGGCGCATGGCGAGGTGCATAGCACTGACGCGGGCCGTTACCATGGCCTTGATCGTTGAAGAATCCCTTGTCTTGGCTACCGTTCTCGTCTTTGTTCTCTTCCCTGCGCACGTGAAAGGGGAGATAGGGTGGGGGGACGACGCACCATTGATCCATCGATTCATACGATGATAGTAGCCACCTGTCGAGCTCTCCTCCTTCTCTCTCTCTCTCTTCCTTCCCACTATCGGAGAGGCAACTCACACTGCATTAGCACTGGTATTCGGTCCCCCGTTGCCACCGTCGCATCGGCATCGTCATGGTACGACGTACCATCTGCAGCGGCCAGACTTCGCATTGGCAGTGCCAGTGTGACACACAACACGAGGGGAGGAGAGGTCCGGTCCGAAGCCACCGGTGAGGTTACTGTTATCTCCTGGTCCGTGTCACTTGTTCCCACCCACTTGGTGTATTGACTCTCCGTACGGAGTTTTATACTCGCATGTACTCGTTCTCTGTACTCGTTCTCTGTATGATCCATACAGTGAAGGAAAATAAAGAAAAAAAAGTTGATCATTCTGAACATCTCTTCCTGCTCCTCTGACCCTGTCTTCTCCCGAATCGTTCATGATTAGTGGTGACCGGTCACCCTGGAAAATCCACACTTATTATTACCTTGTTAGGGCCCTTGTCAGTTGTCAACCTTGAGTCTTGACCCTTCGAGCCTTGGGCCGTGGTCCGTAGCGACATGGGGGCTGTAAAGTATTATGTTAGCAAAAACTTGTGGACCATGCATAGTAACAATTGAACGCGTGGGAAGCCGGACAGAAATATCATTACCTTGCAAGTATCCGTAAAAAATGCCGGGAGGTTGAAGGTGAAGAGAAGAGAAGAATAAGAAATAAAACGAAAACACCACGATATGCGCCGCACGCGCAGGCTGCCTCGGTCTTGGTTGTGTCAATTGGCGAGTCTGCGACTCTTCCATCCGAACGGATTCCTCCGTCATCCCACATATTCGATTCCAATTGGCATGGGGCCTGGAACCCCCTCTCCCTTGGCGCCGGGCCCCCAAATACGTAGACGCCTGCCATATCTTGTACGCATACGAACCATTGGGTTCTGCTTGTGGACGACATGGATGGGCCGCAACGCATGTTGACAGGTCGATCTTGAGGCTATCCGACCAGGACGTAATATTACATGTAGGCTCGTACTCGTGCGCCGAATTTTCCTTTTCCCTTTTGTTAAAAAAAAAAAGAAAGAGGAAAGAAAAAGAGGGGAAAAAAAAGGGAGGACATAGTCGATCATGCAACTGCCGATTGTCACCTCGACTGTAAAGCTCTCTTAGAGATGTAACCGTGGAGGATCAATCATGGCGATCGCACATGCCGGCCAGCCGTCAGCTCGTCTTTTCTGCATTGCGACGATCGCTCTCTGGCAGCACGCCGTACGAGGTTCCGGGCCATTGGGATCCATCACAGGCCACAGATGCTCTGCTCCGAGTACTACGTCATATCACCTGCCGCTGCTGGAAGGTGACAGAGTGATACGACATAGACAGGGCCTGGTAACTTGGGTTTCCCTCATGGGAGTATTGCCTGCCTGAGATCTCATGGGATGCTAATAATACCTGTCGCATAATGTAATACATACCCTGACCTCTCCCGCCCCTCGGTATAGCGATTCGCAGCATGCCAGGTAAGACAAAGAGAATCCCAGTTCGGATCTTGTCTCTTCATTTTCCAAAACTCTATTCACTACGACGAACGGCGCAATAACGAGCTGGTAAAAGGAGTTGAAGAAGAAGAAGAAGAAGGTAGGAGATGGAAATCAAAAGTATATCGTCTCCGTCTCGTCAACAATCTGAACCTTGATGCAGCCATTCCTGGGATCAGATGACAGTATCAATCCGTCCATGGCCTTTTCTAGTGGGAAAATATGGGACACGAGCTGCTTGACGTCGATAAGTCCCCCGTCTATGCATGCGATCCCGGCCGGCCAGGTGTCGCGGTACCGGTTGATGAAGCGGAGATCAATCTACGACGACAAACGTTAGCCTCGGGTATCAGCCCAAGGAAGTAAATCAGACGTAAAACCGGTCGAGAAGCAAGGGGAAAATGAAAGGAGAGACGGAAAGAGCGCAGACACTCACCTCGGCTAGCGACAAGTGCATAAAGGGGAGGTTATTGACGATAGACTTCCCGACGCCCACAACCATGAGGACGCCACCCCGACGAACAGTGAATGCGGCGGTGCAGATGCTGAACTCAACACCTGTGCACTCGAGAGCCACACGGGGCATGACATAGTCCGTCTCCCCAAACAGCGATTTTATCGCCCCGGCATTATCCTCGGCGCTCTTGGACGCGTCGACCCGATACGTCTTGCACTCTGGGACCACCTTGCGGGCAAACTCTAGGCGGCTGGGCTCAATATCCGTGATGACTATCGGGTGCGCTCCAGACGCTCGTGCGCCAGCAAGGGCGAGCAGGCCGATGGGTCCGGCACCGCAGATGAGGACGGGGGTGCCAAGGGTCAGACGGGCAGAGTTGATGCCGTGGAGGACGACGCTGAGGGGCTCGAGGAGGGCGCCCTCGGCGAACGAGATGTTGTCGGGGAGTCTGTTCAATCTCACGTGAGTCCTTTGTCTCTCCCCGAATTCTGCAGTGCAGATGGAGAAAGTCTACAGACAACAAACATACTTGTGAAGCCACTTGGCCGGGTGTACCTTGTAACGTTGCAGGGTACCGGCGTAGGGGTAGACACCGGAAAACTGGACGTCTTGGCAAAGATTGTAGCGGCCCTCGAGGCAGAGGAAGCATTCGCCGCATGGCACCCCAGGCTCAATGGCAACCCGATCTCCTGTTGCAGCAGTACCTTGTAAGCCTCCTCGCTTCTCGTCTTTTCCGGGGAGTTAGACATACCCGGTCTCAAATCCGTCACGCCCTCCCCACAGCGAATGACAACACCGGCAGCCTCGTGGCCAATGATGCAGTCTCCTTCGAAGACGAGGGTTCCAATCTTGCCAGCCTTCCAGAAATGCACGTCGGACCTATATCTCTATCAGTTATTGTCATGTTGCCAAATTTCTCTGTCTCATCATACGTCTGCAGAGCAATAGGCATGACGCCGTCTCCGACACTGTCTTACCCGCATATTCCCGTCGATTTGATATGTAGGAGGACGTCGCCAGGGCCAGGGGCATAGACGGGAGCCTCAACGGCTTTGAGCTTGTGGTCGGCTGTTACCTGTAGCGAAGGGTTAGGCAGAGGGGCCTTGATGGTGGCCGGAGCCGGTAACCCGTTGGCGTGGCCGTTGACGACGGGGACTTGGTTGTCAATCATGTCGCCCATTTGAAGAGTCTTGGTCGTAGGAATAATCTATATAACACGATGCAACAGATTCGTGGGTAAGAAAGAAAGAAGGAAGGAAATGAAGGGGAAGAAAGGCATCCTCATTCTTCGAGAGGGAGAGAAACAGACCCTTTCATTTGGCGGTGGCACCAAAGCAACGAGTGGTTCGGATTGCCATGTATGGAAAGAAGCGCAGGAAGAAAAAAAACAGATTCGTTCAACATCATACATAGCTCCATGGAACTATTGGATAAAGCCGTTAAATCAGAGCCGGAAAATGGGCACAGGAAAGCTACCTGCGGCATGGTGATGGCTTGGTGGAGCTGAGAAGTGGTTAATGTTACCTATTCTGGCAAGAGACAATAGTGTCTCACATACGATCAAGAGACATGACGATGGTTGATGGTGAAATCGGTATGAGGCGAAGCAGAGACGAATTCGAGACGAATTCATCACTGTTTCCGTTGTTGATGGTACGTAGAAGAGAGAAAGGAAATCGTGCACATGGAAGCAAAAAAAAATATTCAGAGAAAGAGTGAAAATCCGCTGCTTTTCGATACAAGGAAAGTGCGCTCGGCTGCCCCTGCCTTTCAGTGTCGACTACCTCGGGCCCTAGATAATGAGGCCAACCCCCGAGATCAGAGGCCGCCACAAAATCTACAATACTAGCACGGAGAATGTGACGATATGGATATACCAGCCCAGGTAACGTTGCCGTAGTACTGAAGTTCATTATAATCGAAAGAATAATACATCGGGATACGAAGCAAAGCTCTATACAGACTTTTGCATTGCCATGCCCCGTATACATGTATTCGCGCACAGCCTTCTCCCCGCACCGGAAAATGCTCTCCCCACAACGCACGATTTCCCCCTCATTTTGTTTCTCCATACCCCGGCATCGTCGGCTTCTTCTTATAATAATCCTAAACTTCTTAAACGTCAAAGTAGCCAAGTATATAGAAAATGCAGTCGGAAAAGAATAGATAGTATCCCACAAGGAAGTTCCGTCATAATCCCGATATAATATAGTAAAACTACACACGTACTTATTATTCGACCGACATCGATTTCCAGGACTGCCTTCTCTCGTCTCCGCTAGAGCAATAATAATATTAGTGGGCAGGAGCGATGCCCCTTCCTTCCCCACTTCGTTGTAGAAAATCCACTGCTCGCACCAATTCTGGGGAATTTGGTATAATGCTTCGGCTTTCCCTGTTGAGTCGCTCTCTCCCCCTTCTATCTTCTCTCTGCACCCCACGCTTTCTATTCACGCCCTCTCCCCATCTTATCTTGCCTCATAGGGTGGCATCCTGCCATCTCCGCCACCTGTCATTGAGCGTTGTGTGGGTCATTACCGGCCGCTAGCACACAGAGATTGTCATCACCATGGCTACTCGGGAAGTGCCTGAGCCTGGGCAAAAGGCGCGCCTCAAGAGGACAAGGACCGGGTGCCTCAAGTGTCGCGTCAGGCGACGGAAATGTAGGCTCTGTTTGCCCCCAATCAAGATGTTGGTAGGACGTTGTCGACGTTGTCGAGTCCACTATACTAACCTCCTGTCGACCAGGCGACGAGAAGAAGCCGAGTTGTCAGAGATGCGTCGACGGTGGCTTCGTCTGCCAATACGGGACAAAGCTGTCCTTTCTCGAGAAGAACACGATAACCGCCTCCGGTCCCAGCAAGTCGGCTCGCCAATCCTACTCTACCCTGCGCGTAAGTGGCAGCCCTGCAGGATGATGGCACCCTTGCTTCCTCGCTGCATACTCCCACGTGCTGACCTGCGAGTCTATATATAACTGCCCATGCAGTTTGTCGACACCCACCCCGCCGCAAGCCAGACAGCATCGCCTATCTCACCGAGTGCCGAGCCGCCGGCGAGCAATGTTTCAGAGACTGAAAGAGGGCTAGGACACCAGCCGAGTCCTTCCCACTCGCCCACCAGCCCTCAACTGCCAACGCCGCGATCTGACACGACCACGGGGGCTCATCTGAAAGACCTGCAGAACCCTGGCGGTGCCTATGCTGTCGACACGTCTCCTAGCAATGGGGCCTACGAGACGGCCCTGGATGTTCTCACATCGCTGGGGTCTGTAAATTCTGGCGGTGCATCTGCAACGCCGCTGCCGCCTGGCTATGGACCGAGTCCCCATGAGGATAGCACACCCTACGCTCACGGCGACTTGAGATCACACAGTTTGGGGGTGCCAGAAGAGTTCTCGACGTGTTCTCTGCTCCCGCAAGATCCTTCCATCCAACTACTCCGGCATTATCGGTACAATCTCGCTCCCTGGGTGAGTGGTTTTTCCAGATATAGCCATGTACTTGATTGACGAGACAAGAAAAAGACTTATACATCGTCTTCTGTAGCTCGACATTGACGACCCCACACAAACATTTGGGCTTGAGATACCACGCTTTGCATTGTCGTCTGTACCGGTGCTGGAATCACTACTGTCGCTTTCCCTGGCATCCCTGGATCGGTATGCCGATGCCGACCTCAAGGCTGTGCAGCATGAGGCGCGGGAGACGAGTCTGATCGAGAGCCTTGTCATAGTCACCTTGGCAGCCGTGAGGAGCCTTACACTGGCCAGCCCACCTGACTGGCAGAGTCCGTTTGCCACTTCCGGAATACAGCCACTGGATGCAGCTCTCCGCCACAACGGCCACACCGGCATACGAATGGCCGTTGCACGCATGTTTCTTCGTCTGGGTACGCCTCTCCGCCTCTACCTGTGCATCCGACGCTGAATTGCCTGGCTAATAATGTGGACAGACGTGAGCGTCGGCTTGATGAATAACAGACCTGTATCTATACCGAGCATTCTGCTCTACGGTATCAGCTCGCCCGAGCTCCCAGAAATTCCCATCGACGCGCTCAGGTATAACTGGGATCCTCTGGTCCTCTGTTCCCTCGCCCTCAACTACTGTTATGGTGACGAAATGCATCAGTCGGCGGGTAGTTTTGATGTAGGAATGGGTACCACGGACAGGTGGAAGATGCTCACCGAGACCCTCGTCTTGTGGTATAATAACCGTCCCGACGCGCTCAAGCCCATTCTCGAGGTGGCCCACAACGACCAGCTATTTCCGCTCATACTCTTCAGTAGCGGCACGGCTGTCTTTGCCAATCAGCTGTTCCACACGGCCATGCTGCTGCTGTTGCAGCACAGGCCACGGACATTTCTGAGCAGCGGCCATAGCAGGCCCGTCGCCATGTCTCCCCTTTGGCATGCGCAGAGGGTATGTGGCATCAGCTTAAGCAACGACAGTCGCAAGAGCTGGGATTTCTGTCTCGTCGGATCCCTATATATAGGCGCCAGATGTATGACGTATGATCTGCAGCAACATGCTCTGATATCTGGAATCAACCGAATCTCTTGCATGACAGGATGGAACTTGAGACCGCTTGAAGCACGACTCCTTGATGCATGGCAGCAGGGATGAGGCAGGGGACCGTTTAGAAGGAGAGGCCCGGGAATAATGATTTTTCATGCCCTTCACTGTTCTTTCAATGCTCTATACTGTTGGGATCTTTTTTCCTCGAGCCTTTCACGTCAATCACCGGTGCTGATCTTGTATCCCCAGGCAGCCTCGAGGTCTGAAATTCGCCAGGAGGTGGCCCAGCCTGTCATGGACTCGATGCTGCGGATGAGCTCGACGAGAAGGAGGTGTTCAGACCTGTGGCTAAGGAGACGGCCGGCGATCCAGAGGGGCTGGATGGCATTGTTAAGGCAGCCCTGGTGTGGGTTGGTGAGGGATATGCCGCAGATGCGCTTGGCATGCCATATGGGAGAGCCGGTGAGCCCGAGATCCGGGGCGGTGAGGTTATGCGGCACAGAGCTCAGGAGGAGGATGCAAGCCGTGTGGTATAGCTGGTGGGACGATATGGCAGCCCAGTGAGCAAAGAGAATCTGGGGGAAGGGCCGGGTCTCGATGGACTTGAGGGGCACGAGATCGGCGGGACGATGGCGGACCCAGTCCTGGAGAAGATGCCAGAGGCGCAACCAGCGACGGTCAAAGGTGGCGGCATCACAGCCATTATTCTCGCCCATCTCGGTGTGGCGTGTGCGGTCGGCGATGAGCTCGCACACCAGGGAGCACAGGTAGACGGCGTAGTTGGCGTGCATATCCGGAGATCGGTGCTGGCTGAAGAGGGAAGGGCCGTCGTCGTTGTCCATTCCCGGTAGGAGGAATTTGTGGGTTGGCACGAGCGTGGCCTGTGTGCCGTCCGATATGAGAGCGCCGCAGAGGTCTGGATACATGTGTGTGATGAGTCAACGTTCAGCCGTAGTTGAAGACAGATGGCATCTTCTGACATGGGAACATCTTGATGAGGGTATCGAACATGGCATACCCATTCTAGCGTAGCACCAGAAGACGGACTGTAGGATATCCCCACTGAAGCCATTCACGCCAAAGGCTTCAAACAGGGTAGCGCAGCCCTCGAGGTGTCTCCTCCAGTCGCGCGGGCTGGCGGACATCATCTCCAGACAGCAGAGGATGACGCAGATGGGCACGATGACGAGGTGGTTGCCGACATTGCCGCCATCACCCTGGCGGGCGTCGTCGTTCTCGCCGCCGTCGTTGCCGGTGTGGTCGCGTGCCTGGGCCTGCAGGAGAGGATTGAGATGTCGTATGGCATCCTGGTATAGTTCCAGGCTGTCGAACGAGTGCTGCCTCCCTTCTTTCCGTTCCATCTGGCGTGCTGAGAGGGCGAGGAGGGCGCATAGCAGGGCCGGACAGTGTCTGGCCAGCAGGGGGACTTGGATCGCAAATGTTCCTTGACTGTCAAACATGTCGAGCTGTGTCTTGTTTTAGTTTTCTTTTCTTTTCTTTTTTTTTTTTTTTTTTGCCTGCTCCTGCTGTAATGCTTGTCTATCTGTTGTGATGATGAAGTGGAAAGATGCACATATACACATATACAGAGAGAGAGGAGAGAGAGGAGAGAGAGAGGGGAGAGNGAGCATGTCCTCGGAGGCTTTTCTCAGGTCTCCCCTTCCCCCCCCCTTTCCCCTCCCTCTCTGCTTGCTAAGCTCCTATGGCCTTTTTTTTTTTTCTTTTCTTTTCTTTTTTTTTTTTTTAAATGCCTGCTTGTCTATCTGTTGTGATGATGAAGTGGAAAGATGCACATATACACATATACAGAGAGAGAGGAGAGAGAGGAGAGAGAGAGGGGAGAGAGAGAGGGGAGAGAGAGATGGAGAAAGAAGAAGAATACTTACCCATGGTGCTACTTGAGCAACATAATTCTTGAGATATTCTAGCCTACGACCTGTAGATAGGATATCATGACTTGTTTGAGAGTGAAAGTCGGTGATGGAAGGGGGGTATGCTGTTGCCGCCGAGACGGCAAGGCCGTCTGCAGGGTTGGTTCTGACGTTGTTCTGGGCTGCTTCACCACTGACGATGGTGGCACCAGACACGGGTGAGCCTTGTCTCGTAGGGGCAGCGGTCTGGGCAGTGTTGAATATCAGATGACGCAGCTCTTCTCTGTATGCCAGGTAACCCGGATCGAGGACGAATTGATCTAGGGGCCAGTAGGCGGAGTCTGGGGACGACATGGAGTCTTGACGGTGACGACTATAAGGAGAGTCCATCTTGGAGGAGAGGGGGTGGGGATGGGTTCATGCGACATTGATATGCCACTCTCACCGATTGGCCACCTTTTCTCTCCCCCTCTTCACCATATGCTGCCAAATTTCACGGTTGGTGGGTTGTTTACGGTTGGGTTGAATGGTGGTGTTGATGAAGATGTACTCGTATGCGCTGATGCGGAGAACTCAGAAATCATGTAGGAGGAGGGGGAAGAAGGATGGAGGGAAATGCGGGGAAGCAGCGCAACACTGGGACGCTAGACAGGCGCAGAGACCGGCGCAAGAGACCGATTAGTTGCTACGAGTTGCCATTGAAGAGGGTTGTTTTTACTATCTGGTGGGAAACACGGGTTTCTGTCGTATACGAATTGTTGTCGCAAGAAATAATCGAATCCCATGGATCGTACATGTCGTCTGTGCACAGAGGCAATAGGGAAGACCGCGCAGATAGAAAAAAAAAAAAAGACTTTTGAATTTCTGCTGCTTCATCATCTGGCTGGAATCGCGGAACGGAAGAAGACGAAATGGTGCCGTTCGGCATCGCGGAGAGTATCAGGGAGACCGAACGTCGACATGGATAGTATGTGGCGGAGTTTATGAATCGAATCAAGGAAACATCAGTGCACCCGTAGTCTGTACTTGTACAGACCAGTTGTATAATAATGACAGGTTCCGACCTGAAGCAAACATGTCCTGAAACAATGATGAGTGGGCGGATGGGTACGGAGTACTACAAGGTATGCATGCCTGTGAGTGAGTACTCGCAGGTGAAGTGAGCGAGCGAGCGAGTGAGTGAGTGAGTGAGTGAGTGAGTGAGAGAGAGAGAGAGTGTGTGTGTGTATACATGTACGTACGCGCGCACCTGGCCAAAAGGAGGGTGGGTATACTTTGGTTTCTATTTACATGCACTCGTATGATTTCTCCGTTTCCTTCTCTACACCGTATCAATACTGATAAATATTCCTTCTCTTCGATCTGTTCCCATTTGGTGTTGCTGGTCCCACCTCTCCCCTTTGCCCGGCCTGCCGATAGTATCCCTGGATATGATATCAACTGCCGAGTATTATCATCAATACGACAGTGCGAACGGGTGCCGGTGGTACGAGTAGTTTTTTTTTTTCTGAGCATGGTCAATCGAACGGACTTGTGTGTGCAGGGACAACATTAAAGGCTCAAGACTGCGCTTTTGTGATGATAGACTACATTGCCGACGCATGTCTTGAGACATATTCATCTCGTGCTGATGCAAGATGACAGGATGCAGGCATTCACGAATGTATTCGATAGTCCTTGGGAGCCATAAAACGCACAAATAAGGGGCTTGAACCAACGGAGTATTATTAATAGGTAATAATACTGCAAATGTTACCACGGAGTATTCTTACCAACAAGCGACCGTCATCCATATGAGACACACGTAGACACTATCAATTAATCCACTGCCAATTATCCTGCATGCACTTCCATTATACTACACTCACCGTATGTGCCAATGTAATTACCTGGTGCTAGGGCCACTGCTAGGGTTATTTGCTTTCCTCTTCTTGCTTGCGATCTTTGCCTCCGTCTCCTTCTCCCTTCCTCCAGGCCGCACTATTCGTAAATTAATATGCAGCTTGGATGCATGTCTTGACGCAGACTTCTGTAAGGAGGGAGACGCATACATGTGCCAGTTGCGATTACGGAGTAATTACCGAGTAATAATAATATACACGGGTACAGGCAATACAAGTACGAGTACAGATCTGTACATAGCCATATATCATACTACAGGCACACGCATTCAAGTTTAAGCACTTTTACTAGTATTGGTACGGATATAATATCATGTATCGGTGGGACAAGATGAAGAAGCTCAGTTGGTCTGGGAAGGGGGTAAACCGTGGATGACTAATTTAAAAAAATGAAGCCTAACCTCTCAGGGGTGCAGAGTGAGAGGGAGTGGGAGGACAAGGAGCGAAATGACATGAAATTAGCTGCACAGCGCGGTATCCGTGAATAGTACTCCGTACGTACGACATTGCAGTTGTTGGTTAATAGTACATATACAAGTATGTGTAACCTGTACTCTGTACAGATTATCATCATGTGCGATTGCCAATGACTGGTCTAGCAGTAATAATGGTCATCGTGGTTTCTTCCCATCCCGTCTCCTCTGCCCTATATTCCTGCATTTAAATCAAGATTGTCACGGAATAGTCCGTAGCCGTACGGCACAGTTCTATATTACTCGTAATCTGTGCATAGGTCTGCTAGTATGGCTGGTGCCAATATTACTGCTACTTGGCACACTATCACGAGCAATAATAGTTCCTTTTCCGCTGATGGTATAATCTGACCCATCTTCATCCTCAGCATCCTTCCCATGTACAGGTTGCATGTGGTTTGACTACTCGTAGCCTCTGACTATACGTACTCGCAGGTGGTGGGTGCAGCCCTGGAGTTGGCGGGATCTACAGCGCTGATAGCCCGCTACAAGCTGGACTGGTGGACGCTAACTCGACGCCACCCAGCGCAGCATTACAGCGTACGGCAACACTCACTCGTTGGTTGGGCCGTGGGCTGGTAGGAGATGGAGGCTATTGTTATTGAGCGCAAGGTACTTCGTACGTACGAGTAGCGTCGCATCGTACCTGCCCCGTTGGAAGGAAGGGGATGGCTTGGGCGGAAGGTACCACTTATTTTTTCTATCAGGCCGTACCTGCCTGCCCCTCACACTTTTTTTTTTTCTTGGTCTTTTTTTTTTTCTTTTTTTTTCTTTCAGGAACCAGGGGGATATTCTCCTCGTCTCGTTGTCTCCCCTCCCTTTTCTCCATTCCCACAGAAATCCCCGTCGTGAACCCTTTGACCATGTTTCATACCATGGTCCGTCATATACTCGCAACACTGATACTCATCGGTACGACGTGCACTCCAGCATCGTACGCATCACCATCCACCATACTCGACTCCGTACAGGTACACATTGGTGCCCGTCTATTCATCATCGTCGACAGCGTGCTCAGCTTCTTGTCCTACGACGACATACATGTGCAGCCGGATCGTGTGCCCGATGCTCATTGCCACCACTTTAGTCCAGGGTTACATGCAGACATTTGACTGCACATTGGAAGTACGAGTGGTAATCATATTACTCAACCATACTCCATACTTGTATCGCCACTCAATTGTATACTGCCAGTAATCTGTACAGATTGCTGCGAGTACTGCTACGAGTGCGTACGTCGTACTACCCCCCCCCCCCCCNACGAGCATTACTTGCTCCGCAAGTCCCTTGCCCCAGTCCCTGATCCACCACTGAGACGAGTCTCACTGTTGCCAAGCCTGGTCCTGCCGCCCTGACGCTTGACAGACCTTCGCGGACCCTCACACCCCCGGTCAGCCATCCTCAAGACACAAGCTGCCTAGTTTGCTAGTTTGCTAGTCCCCCCCCCGGCCAAAAGTCTCCCCAAAAAAAATCCGAGACCAATCGTCTCCTCGAACCGTCTCCCGCGTCGCCACGAGCCGCCGGCACAACACCACAACCACCTCCTCGTGCATACCGGCGCCTCCTACTCCTCGTCGCGTGCTGCTGCCATCGAGCCCGTCGCCCCGACGTCTCCTCCCCCGACACCTCTACCAGAGACACTGCTCCACTCCCGGGCGTCCTGACGTCTAATAGTACGCCAGGCGTGAGCCCACTTGGCTTCGCGCCCTTGGCAAGAACCATCCCCTCGTGTACGAGTACGGCGCCGACGGACGAGTACGAGCTTTCTCACCCTCTACTTCCACCACACTCCCACCACCGCCACCACCGCTGCCGACGCTGCCGCTGGCGCTACCATACTCGGCCCTCGTCAATCCGCCCATGACTCCCTTATAGACTCCCGCACGCCGCCCCGACGCCAACATGGCCGACAACCAGCGTCTGTCCCGCACCCTGCAGAGGGACTCGCACGACCTGTCGCTGTCCCCACGCAACGTCACCCGCGACTCCCTCGTCACGAACATGCTCATGTCGCTTGACCAGTTTTCCGTCATCCCCAGCAGCTCCTCCAACAATCAATACGCCGACGACGAACCGGACTCGCCTCGCTTCTTCGACATTCCCAGGTACAGGCCGGGCCACGCAGACGACGACGACTACGACGACGACGACCTCGATACCCTGCCTCCGGCTCACGCTGCCACCTGGCCCGCCCAGGTTCCCGCCCAGGCCTCCGACCTCTACCAGCAGCAGCAGCGTCAGCAACGCCACCGTCACCAGGCCCAGCCCTCGTACAGCTCCGACCTCGATATCCCTACAGACGACGAGAGTCCCAGGGCCCACCTCTACTCGCGGCAGCGGAGGAGCAACAGCAGCATCACCTACCAGGACGCCGCCTATGCTCAGGCGAGGAGCCACCGGCAGCCGCCTCCCCGCACTCGCGACAACCATCTCCGTGGAGGGAGGGGCAGCAGGAGCAGCAGAGGTAGCAGCGTCACCAGCTTTGATCAGGGCTCGCCAGCCCAAGGCCCCGTATCGGGCACCGCCGGCAGTGCCGCCCAACGCTGGAACCGTGGCCTGGGCCGATCCTCGAGCTTCGACTTGGACACGGCGCCGTTGTCTGCTGTGGCCCCGGCCCAGCAGCGCCAGCAGCAGCCCCCCTCGCAGTCGCATCTCCACCACCCTCTCCTCGAGGACGTGCCTCAGTCCCCCTTCCAGACCGACTTCCGCAGCTTCCTCGACGACGAACTAGACGCCGCTCCGAACCCGACCGTGCCCAGCGGACCCCGCAAGATACCCTCCTCAGCTTCTATGCTCCCGCCTCCACCGGAGCCTCTAGAACGTCCGGCAACCCACCGAAACCACAGCTCCGGCCGCTCCATCAAGAGCTCCTCCGGCCGCAGCAGGGTCGCCACAGCTCGCGAAGCTGCCTCCTCTCCCATGCCGCCCTCCGCCTCCATGCCGGTCGTCGACATCGACTCGGCCCCGGCACCCAACGTCGGCTACGGAAAACCAAAGGAGCTGGCCACCTCCGCCTCCAGCCCCGCTCTCCCGCAAAAGGATCGCCCAGGCTTCTTCAAGAGGGTCTTTGGAGGTGGCAGCTCGTCCAAGACCTCCCTGGCCCCCCCTCCCACGGCGGATTCGAAGCGCCCTCCACGCCTTGACTCGGTCGATGCGGGTAGCGACAGCCCCGGTGCCGGGAAGCCGCAGCAGAAGCCCACCTCTACGCCGCCCTCGCGCGACGTGATGACCTCCCACTCCAACCACCCCCCTCTGCAGAAGAAGACGTCTTCCTTTTTCCGACGCCGCAAGAAGACCCCTGAATCGGTACCTCCCCTCCCCTCTGGCCTCCCCGCAACCGCCGCCGCCGCCACCACCACCACCACCACCACCACCACCACGGCTGCTCCTGCCGATGTCGAGGCACCGCCTGTGCCTCCCCTCAACGTGGAGGCCGAGCAGGACGCCTACATCTCCAAGCCCATGGACAGTCCCGTCAGCAGCCTGCGACATGCCATGGACCACTTCATGCACGAAACCACGCCGGTCCAGCTCAAGTCGTCGGCTCCGCTGGCCGACATCACCAACACGGCCCCGCAGTCGTCGACCGACGGTTACAGACGCGACTTCTCGCCCGACTACGAGCCGAGCCCGAACGCCCGTATTCGAAAGGTGCAGTCCAATCTCGAGAACGACAATGGCACGCCTACAAAGTCTCCGTCCACCGACCAGGATGCCGTCTCCAGGAACGACTCCTTTCTCGATCTCGACGGCGGCAGCGACAATGATGACCCCACTCCGCTGTTCAACCCGCTGTCTGGCAGCCGGCCGATGGACGGCACCAGCTCTCAGAGTGGCAATGGAAATCCCGGTAGCAAGCGGCCACCCCCCACGACGACGTACTCTACCATGCCGCGCGAGAGGAGGTCGACCGGGAACCTGCGGTCCGTCCGCCCCGACTCCGGCGCCAACCTGGCCCTTCCGCTCGAAGGGACCACCAAGCGCCGTAGCGGCTCCACGTCTCCCCGGTCCCCCGTCAGTGCCGGCACCCCTGCCAGTATCACGCCCAGCGTACGTATCGACATGCCGGCGTCTGACCAGCCCGCTCCCAAGGGCCAGCCGTCGCACGAGTCCATGCGGAACCAGCCCCTGGACGAGCCCGAGTTTGTCGTCGGCGAACCCACCGAGGACGACAGGCAAAAGGCCCAGAAGATCTTTGACGGCATCGAAGACTTCATCCAGAAGGAGAAGGCAGCCGCCTGGATGGGCGAGGAGGGCCCCGTGCGTCAGAGGACCCTGCAGGCGTACATGGATCTCTACGATTTCGCGGACCAGAGCGTCGTCTATGCGCTCCGCCAGGTCTGCGGCCGTCTCGTTCTCAGGGCCGAGACGCAGCAGGTGGATCGTATCCTCGTGGCGTTCTCGAAACGTTGGTGCGAGTGCAATCCCAATCACGGGTTCAAGGCGACTGGTAAGTCTCGTTCATATCCGTCCATCGATGCGCGCGGACGCGCACTCGCGCGCCTCCGCAGACACATGCATAGAGGGAGAGAATTTCTGACAGTTTATTGTGAAAACAGACGTCATCCACACAATCTGCTACTCCATCATGCTGCTCAACACCGATCTCCACATGGCCGACATCGAATCGAAGATGACACGCAGTCAGTTTGTCAGGAACACCATGGGTACCATCGTCGACGCCGCCATCTCGGCATCCGAGGCCGAGGCAGCATCACGCCGGCCGAGCACCGTCCCCGAGCGGTCCTCCATGCTGGACGACGACCCGCCGCCGCCGCCCACCGTCGAGGATAGGAAGCTCTTCAGGAACTCGTTCCGCCCTCCACCCAGACTGGATGGCCAGGCGGGCGACGGCGTCGACGACTGCGGACCCCTCGTCAAGACCAGGTACGCGGGTACCATGAAGGGGTGGGAGGATCAGGTTGAGATCGTCCTCAAGTCCATCTACAACTCCATCCGCGACGAGAGGCTGCCCCTCTTCGGAGCCGCAGACGCCTCCAAGTCGGCCCCGGTGCCGCCGTCTACGTCGCAGAGCAACCTGTCGGTCATGCACATGCTCAAGCGGTCGCCGAGCTCTCTGAGCAAGACGCCCTCGGACGGCAACCTGTCCGTGCGCGGACGCGTGGCCGAGGGCCGCGCCAACACCTCGCGCTGGACCTCGAAGAGCCGGTCTCGCCCCGGGATCGGCAGGAGCGGGTTCAACTCGAGCCGCACGAGCTTCGACGACAACAACTCGATCTGGAGCCCCCCGCTGTCGTCGTCTGCCACGTGGAGTCGGCAGTCGCTCGGCAGGACGCAGACCTCGGTGTCGCAGGATTCGCTCGGGTCCACCATGCTGCGTGGCGACTACCAGCAGTCGATCGGATTCGCCAACGCGCTAAGCCAGGCCATCATCCGCGACGACGACGGCTACGGCAACGAGTCGGTGCCGTCGGTTCACAGCGCCGACATGTCTGCCCAGCTCCTCGAGGACGAGTCGCTCGAGCTCACGGGCCCGCCCTGGGTCAAGGAGGGCATGGTGATCCACAAGCACCACCTGGACGGGGTCGACAAGAAGGCCAAGGAGCGCAGCTGGAACGAGGTGTTTGCCGTCATCCAAAAGGGCCACATGGGTCTCTTCTCGTTCGCGGCCAACAAGTCGACGAGGCAGAAGAGCCGCACGCGCGCCGCGGCGGCAGCGGCGGGAGGAGGGGGCACCGTCGTCGGCGGCGGAAACTGGCAGGACAACGCCACGAGCGTGGGCTCCTTCAGCCTCCGCCAGACGCTGGCCTCCGCGCTCCCGCCTCCGGGCTACTCGCGGTCCCGGCCGCACGTGTGGGCGCTCAGCCTGCCGACGGGGGCCGTGCACCTCTTCCAGGTCGGCACGCCGGAGCTGATCAAGGAGTTTGTCACGACGGCCAACTACTGGAGCGCGCGGCTGAGCACGCACCCGCTCATCGGCGGCATCAGCAACATGGAGTTCGGCTGGAGCGAAGCCGTGGTCAACAATGCGCTCCTCAGCGCCATCAACAACGACGCCAGCAGCATCAGCAACGGACCACCCGGGTCATCAGGCACCGGCTCGGGACTGGCCCTGCCTTCGACAGCAGGCACGCTGGGCAGTCGCGACAGGTCGTCGCGACCGGGAAGCAGCGCGGCGACGGGGCACATCCGCAAGTCGAGCGTGGGCAGCTTCCGGTCAGCCAGCCTGGACCACGCGGCGGCAGCGCTGACCAACGCCGCATCCGGACGCACCGGCGGCGGCGGCGGCGGCAAGCTCCCCGGCGACCGCATCCACATTGCTGAGTGGACGCCACCTGCGCAGAGCATGCGTCCCAGCACCGACGGCGAGAGCGAGCAGCTGCGGACGCTGCAGGCCTACGTCAAGGGCATAGAGGAAGAGCTGCAAGCGCACAATCAGCTGCGCAGCCCGATGCTCCTCGCCTTCACGCCCCGCGGGCAGAATGCCATCAGGGCCATGTCCAACTGGGAACGCAAGAGCGCGTACCTCCTTCGGGAGATTGTCAAGTTCCGCACCTACGTCGACTGCCTCCAGCAGGCCGAGATGAGGAAGCAGGATATCTATGCTGAGAGGGATCTAGCTCACAGGGCTGCTAGGGGAGAATTGGATGATGAGGATATGGATAGTGACGAGTGATTTCTCCTTCATCATTCTCACCTCTCTTCTCCCTATCTCCCCACCCCCTCCCCCCGGGGTTCCCCTCTATCAACTCCTATTCTATACTTGACATCCCTCCTGAACACTCTTCATTCCACTACATATATATACATATTTCTCTTGCCATCCCTGGACCATTTTTATATTCTATCCCTCTTATATCACTCTTCTTTTTGTCTTTTTTCTTCTCTTTGTTTTTTATATATCTCACTGAGTTTTACTCATTATTTCTATGACGACCTTTCTCTCTCTCTCCATCTCTCGCTTTCTCTTTCTTTTTTCTCCTTTGGGTTTTTTAGATACTCTATGAGAATATCAATGGGGTGGTATATACTTGGTATACTTGGTACACACACACACACAGACACAACAAAACGCACACATTCTTACACTCATACACACACGCACTCACACACTCGCACACATGCCACCAAGGATGGAATAACTATTACTAATGTGGAGGACATGTCTTCATTCTCACTCTTATACAAACTCTTACTTCTCTACATTTCTTCTTCTTCTCCTCCTTCTCCTCCTTCTTCTCGTCATATTCATTCTTTTTCTGGAAGTCTTAGAAGCGCTCGTCTGATTTATAGGAGGGAGGGGGGGGGGGGG